GGAGTTTGTCGCTCAACCACCTGGCTGGAAGACCTGCAGTGTTTTCCAATTGTAACTCCATGTGCCTGTTTCACTACTGTGAAGTAGTCCCTTGGGGGAGACCCCACCAATAACCCCTACCTATACTCACAAGTATGTACGTGGATCACCAAAACCAAAACACCACGCTCTAAATCATTTCTTACTCATTAAAGTAAAGAATGGGCACAGTTTGAGTTGATTCATTGTTCACCATTTTTGCTATGAGCTCAAGCATTCCATTTGATTTTACACTGCTTGTGCATTTTGTTTTAACAGGAGGACAGAAGAAACTATTTTATTGCCAACTGAAACATACTCAGTTCAATATCTTTTAAGTTAGAATTTCAGGATACAATGAACCAAAATAAATAAAAAAAAATTGGTCTTAAAGTTGTACTGGTCTGTTTTGTATTTTTCCCCAGCAAGGCCAGATGAACAAAAATAAACGGCAGATGTTATATAGCATGAAGACTTGCTTATTAGGCAAAATTAAATTATTTTACGAATACTCCAAAGTGTAAGCTCTTTCAAGTGTGTGCAATCTGTGTGGAACAAAACACGCGTGAAGCAGTATCCTAACAAAGAGCAATGTCATTGAAGACAGCAATAGAGAACCTGGTCAGGCAGCGGAAAGACACTCCTGCATACCTCGTAGAGAGAGCGCTGAACGCTGTGGCAGGGATTGGAAGCTGCGTATTTCAGAGCTCGGCAGAGGGTCCGCAGGCTGTAATGAGGCCGGTGTCCAGTTCCGTCCACCAGGCGGGAGTTTGCCTCTTTGCGCACAGCCAGATAAAAGCTGATGAAAAAGGAAAAATAATAAATATCCATTGGGGGTGCAAGTGAAAACCTTGGGAGGGTATTAATATCAACCCTGAAATGAGGGAGGCTCCCTACCTTATGATTCCACCGAGAGTGGTCTTGTTCACATTCAAACCCTTCAGGTAGTCCGAGACAAGGACGCGCAGATCGGTCTCGTTTTCAAGTTCTTCCACATACAGCTCTGTGAACCT